CGAGGCAGTATCACTACGGAAGTAGGATTGCCCAACCTTCCTTCCGAGGAGTGGCTGGTGGGTTTGAACCGCCAGCCCTCTGGTTAGCAGGCAAGTGTCTTAGCCACTATGCTACCAGAGCTCCCAGATATGACCTAGCAGTCTTTAAAATTCTTCCTACCATAACCATATGGGCTAGTTATCTTTGGCCCAATTTGATTTTTCCAGAGGCTAAACCTCCTCAAAGGGTGATTTTTCATTACTAAACCAGACATATCTAAATGTATTAACAAAAAACAAAACAAAAAATACATAAAGGACATTTAATGTACCATACAGTGAAATTCTTTTTAAACTACCAACATTTCGGATTCAAAGTAAAAGCTTCATGATCTAAGGTTATTTTTGATGCTCACAATTATATAAAAAAAGATAAAACACAAACAACACTGTAAAATGACACACAAAGGTAAAATGTCAACAATCACAATTATTCTACTAGGTCTACTAAAGTGGAAATATCACTTACGTTTCCTATAGGAAAATTCAGGAGGTGGTAGAATTCTATAATTTATTTTGCTGGAAGCATTGGCTATAAATAAAATCCCCAAGATATTAGCTTAAGAACATACACTTATATGCACTGTAAAGATGCTCCTGAAAGATGGATTCTAAGAAGCTGCCACATGCCAGTATGTACCTCTTATGTATGTCAGAAGTTTCATTTTTTAAAAGTATTGGGTTAAGATATATTCATAAATACCTGAAAGACACAGTACTGTTTAATTATATACCCCTTGCAAAAACCAAATGCTGTACAGTTCCTCTGATATCATGTAATTCAAAAGCTTCACCTGATAGATAAAAGAAACTGAAGCCCCAGAGGCTAAATATCTTACCCTATTACCAGACAGCTGTTCAGATTCGATTAACCTCTGGATTCCACTCTTCTACCCCCAAGATTGTACTATTAATTTCTCCTCTTGTCTTAAATCTTACCTTCTCCTCATTTCTGTCCTGCCACAACCACTGTACAAAGTGCCTTACTCTTTAATTTACTCACTCTCTTAACCTTCTTTCATTTTTCTCTCCAAGTCTCCTTATCCTTTCATATCCATTTCCATCACTCACTCACTTTTTCTCTTTTCACCCTAGAAGCATTCTTAAATATACAAACAATAATAATGAGATACATTTTATAAATTGGTATAATTAAAAAATTCGTTTAAATGAATTTACAAGTAGTCCAGTTATCCAGAATTAGGATTTTATGGTTAACTCTTTTACTGTTCAATCTAAATCCAACACAAAATATGTATTAATTTGAAGAAACTTCTAATTATTACCAAGAAATAGGTATCAAACCAAATCTTAGTATTTGGGAGCTTGATTCTACTCATGTTTGCATCTGTATCCTAGACTCAATACAACGATAATAGGAATTAACCAGGAAACCAAAGTGTAAAAATAAAAAGATGTCATTTTAACAAAAATCAACATAAGTTTTAAAGCTTGAGGTCTGCTGAATAGATCTTTTCTTCTGTGTAACCTATTTAGGTATTCATCACCACACAACCGGAATAACAACATATTTTTTTGTCAATGTATGATTCAATTAAATGAAGCAGGGAAAAAAATATCTCACCCCCAATGGTACTCTCTTGAAATTCATGAAATTGGCCTTTCACAAAACGAAGCACTAGGCTTGATTTGCCAACAGCAGACTCTCCCAGAAGTACTAGTTTGAACTGGCATATTTTATTTCCAGTATTTGGCCCGTTGGGTCTTGTTGCTCCTCGATTAGCCATGTCCAAATTTGAAAGAAGTCCCTAACTTCAGAATTTTAAATGAACTTCCAGGATGCAAGATGTCAATTTTTCTTTCTGGAGGTAATAACCTGTAAAAAAAATACAAAGTATTTAAATACAGAAATTGGTAAAACAAGGCAAATGTAGTAAAATCACCAGCAAGTTTTACCTACAAAATATTTTTATATGACAATTATAAGTTCCTCTGGACAGTCTATGCCATTTAGCTCTAGCAACAAATTACCTTTTTAATGAAATAATTTAAAGGGTGAAATTTGAGCTTAGAATCACTTTGTAATTTACAGGGCTTTTTATTTTTTTGAAACAATATTTATTAAAGGTTCAACTTTGTGCCAGGCATTTTCCTATGTACTTAACATTGCTGCTCAACAATCCTATAAATTTAGATACTAAAGGAAGACCAAAGAATTGATGCCTTTGAATTGTGGTGTTGGCAAAGAATACTGAAAATATCATGGACTGCCAGAACAACGAATAAATCTGTCCTGGAAGAAGTGCAGCTGGAATACTCCTTAGAATCAAGAATGGCTAGACTTCACCTCACCTACTTTGGTCATGTTGTCAGAAGGAAACAGTCCCTGGAGAAGGATATGATGCAAAAAGGTAAGTAAAAAAGGGGAAGACCCTCAATGAGACAGATTGACACAGTGGCTGAATAATGGCCTAACGCATAGCAAGGATTGTGAGGATAGTCCAGGTGTGAGCAGTGTTTCATTCTAGTGTACACAGGGTCACTGTGAGTAGGAGCTGACTTGATGGCACCTAATAACAACACAAACCTTAAATATGATAAAATAGAGGCACAGAGAGGTTAAATACCTTGATTGAGGTCACAGTTACTGTGACAGAGCTGTGAGAAAGCTTAAGAGGTGGTTCAGAATTCAGGTTCCAGAGCCAGGGTACTTGAGTTAAAACAGTTTTGAGAGTAAATAAGTTAATAAAAGAGACTCACTTAAAACAGATACTGACACTTCAAAAGAGCTCAGTAAGTGTTAAATCTGAAAGGCTCTGTAAAACAGTGCATATTTTTCAATAATTAATATTAATTTTGGTGCAACACATTTAAGGCCCAGATTTGTGTCTAGTGGCTAACAGACTTAAAACTGCTTCCTTACCTGCCCAAGAAATGTTAACAGTGGTTTTCTTTCTGTGGGATTATTAGTGACTGACTTACTGATACTTTTCTATAGAGTCATTAACAATAAATACGTAATCATTTTCTAGTTAACAACCTATTTGAAGAAACGAGCCTCAGTGGCAAGTTTCTACATCTTCCTTTATTATGATCTAACAGTTAATTTTCAATTCCAAAAAGAATTAATAAATAATTGAAACTCCCACTCTAGTTTTCAAGCTACTCAGAAACCAATCATAATAGTTTTCGCACATCTTTAATGAAAATTTGATCGTGTGCTTGACAATAAAAGATATTAAATCTGAAGATGATTCCCTCCCTAAAAACCCCGTTATACTTTATTCAGCCACCCCATATAGGAAATTTTCCATAAACTTGAATTTATATATGAAACATTCTTGATAATGAGATCATTCACATATCCATGAAGATCAAGACAATAAAATCACCTTATTTAAGGGCAATTTTGAAGAATCCTTATTTTTATTGACGTGTACTGAAATATTTACAGATGATATAATATGATGTCTAAGAGTTGCTTCCAAACAATGGAGGTATAAATAAAACAAGATGGCCAAGAGATAACTGAGGCTGGTTCATTATACTATCCTCCCTACTCTTGAATACATTTAAAATTTTCCATAATTTAAAAAAAAAAAAAAAAAAGCTTAATAAACAGGAGACTGAGGGTCGAATCTTGGTTATCAATTTCTGATTAGGTAAATTCCTTTATTTCTAAGTCTTCATTTCTGTAAAACCTAACTATTGTGAAAATTAAATGAAACAAATCTCACAAAGTGCACAACAAAGTAGGGAATGTAAACTGGCAATTCAAGTGGTCAACTCATGAAACAATTAAATATCAAGAACGTCATGAGGGTTGAAAATGCACCAACACACCTTCAAATATTATACACAACAGCAACTGAAACACTCTCCAATAATTTGTTATATGTTCTACAAAACAGCAATTAGTTATCAAAGACAACACGCTGGGAATTTCAATGGCATTCCCAAAATTTCAAGGGAACACATCAGATTCCACTGAGAATCATATTTAGTTTTGTTTTCTAAGGGTTAAGGTTACTGGATTATAGTTACCCCGAGGGTCTCAAACAAGAAACAAACTAAATTTAATTACAAATATGCAGTTAGCATTAATACCATGGTTAAAAAATCATTTGTATTTACTTCTTGCTGAAACTTTTGTATCGCAAACAAGGATTTTGCATGACATGCCATCTTTAAGCTTTTGAAAATAACTAGTATTCTATAGTTAAGTCTTTCTAGGTGGTCTTTGGTCAGAATTTACTAATAACAGCTAACATTTACAGGGCACTTATTTTGTGCCAGACACTGCTCTACGTACGTACTTTGCTCCTAACAATCGTAGGAGCTCATATTATTATCCTCATTTTAAGTAAAAAGTTTCTGAACCTTCCTGAGTATTCTCAGCCATGTTTTTACTATATGAAAAGCAACTAACTCAACACTTAGATTCCACTTAGGCAAAAACACAAAAGCCAAACATAGGAATTTCGATGTGCAGAGTTTTTAACAAGTCTAAAAGTCACAGGGGGGTAATCAGCTTCCAAGGAACAAAACACAGGTTTCATGGTCTGTATCTACTGAGATGGTTGAGTGGTCTAGTTATCTTCAGTTTCTTTAAAACTGCGGTTCACCACCTTCCAGAGATGAGACTGGAGTCTCTAAGCAGACTATTTTGACGAGCCTCCCCACTTCACCCACAGGATTACCCGTCTTTGGCGGAAGGTAGGCGGAGCTCCCCAAATTCACACCTGCTGTAGGCCCCTGCTCCTCCTAGTACTTAGTAATTGCTACCCAACTCCAGATCAACTGAATAAGCAGGACCAGCATGCAATCTTTTCCTTCCTTCTCCCCGCTTTGACTGGAATCACAAGCACGGCCAGGGCAGGAGCCAGGCGGAGCTGCGGCCTCCAGTACTCTTTCCACGTCGCCATCTTGAGAAGGGAAAGGGTGACACCCGTGTCTCCCTCGTCAGTCCCCAAATCACGGTCAATAACGCCCCTTGACAGATGAGTCACCAGGGCTGGTCGGACCAGACACCAGGTTCGACAGCTCTCTGAGCCACAGTACTGGCACGCATGAGGGATTGAGGCGAGGGAGCAGGGGGGCAGGAAGGCAAGGGACCGCGCGTAACCTGGTGTCTGGCCCTCTCTGGGCAGGAGGAGGGGTCGGTTAATTACCTGAGACTGCAGCACGCGGGGTCGTGGGGCCAGAGGTTCCTGGCAGCAGATCCCACGCGCTGACTGAAGGATGAAACTGAGGCTGAGGCTGTGGCTTAGGCGGCGGCGTCTCCTCCTCGCGCCGTTCCCCTCAGACTGGACGGTGCGGGGCTCGTGCCGCTGGTGCCGCCTCTGTCGGGCTCCGTCTCCGCCTCTCCCCGCTCCGCCTTCCTCTTTCCTTTCTCCTCCTCCGTCGCCGCCGGCGATCGGGTTCCGACCACTTCTTCCTCCTCCTCCCTCCTTTGCCTCCTCCCCTTAGGCCGGCCGCTGGCTTTACAAACCAAAACACAAACACTGAAGTCCCAGCGCGGGAACCACTTCCGCCGACCTGTGCCGGCCCCGCCGCCACGTCGCTGCACGTAGAGAACTACGCCCATTCGTCACTTCCCTTCGTCGCCAGTTCGCCCTCTCTATCTAATCCCCCGCCCCTCTCAAAGCCCCTCCTATCCCGGGCACATTCGCGGGGTGTGTCACGTGAAGCCCACGAGCAGCCAGTGGTAGGTCAGGCTGCCTCTCACCCTCCCCCATCACAAAGGCGCGCGGCCCCACCCTCTTTGGCGCCTTTGTTATCTGAGCCCAGTTGCTGGGCTCTTGGCGTGGGCGGAGGAGTTTGCTCACTAACTGTTTGTCTTGGGGATAAGCCGGCAAGAGCTGTATTTTTCATAGCCCTTGTGGGAGGCGTGATTTCCTCTATAAATATTACCCCCTGCAACATCTCAACCCTGGGCAAATGGGTAAGGGACTTTTTGCGCCTTTGCTCCCCGTATTAAGTGTTTTTCAGGAATTATTTCTTGTACTACAGGGTTTTCATTTTGAAACTAACTTGTTTCTTGTTTACCTCCCTCTATTGGAATATTAGCTCCCCAAACTGGCCTTCACCGCTGTAAACCCGGTGCCTAGTCCAGTGCTTGGCACTCAGTTGTCTTCAGTCATGGTCATGGAACGAATGAATGAGGCGTGCTTGTTTCACAGCTGAAGAATTTGAAGCACAGAGATTGAGTAACTTGTCCAAGGTCACTGCCTAGTTGGTGATGAAACGTTTCTAACCTTTTGGCTGACTCCAGAAACTGAGTTTTTAAACAGTTTTCTCTTATACATTCCACTGAAAGCCAGCCCAACACATTGATTAACCTCCACCGCAACCTACTGAAGACATGATTCTTTGATGAAATCCCACACAATAGTCAGGCTCAGCAAGGTATCTGAAACCAAACAACCTTTTAGTAATTCGGTAGAAGAAGGTGAAATTGATTTTCCTTAAGAACCAGGACTATGTTTTCAGGTTGCAGTTTACAGTTTATAACCTGTTGAGAGGACATCATAATTGTCTTTGAAGTATACTAGGGATAAGGTATCCTGTGGGTGCTCAGTCAGCATGCAATAAAAATAATATGAACCCTTAAGTAGCCAGTCTTTCAGATCAACTATCCAGTTAGTTACTAACCAGAAGAGCATAATGTGTCATACATAAATGGCACCTCTGGCACTTTATCCCCAAAGGGTTGGTCCAATGTTACATGTTAGTCAGGCTAATACCTCTTGAATAATGTGAAGAAGAATCAGGAAATAGGATATATCACACCAGTTTTGGCATGTCAATAGCACATCCAATGCCAAGGCTATTCTGCCCTTAACTTGCTCCTGCTCTGTGACACTGGCATTCACAGTTTCTCAGCCTTACCAGAGACTTGAAACTACAGAATCATTTTCAACTGTTCTTTTTCTCCCTCATAAACCATTGTTCATTCAATTGCCAAAAATTCTCTAATCTCAAAATCTGAGGTCTAGTCTCAAAGTTTAGGCTGTGGTAGTATTCCTATAAACTGGAATTAATGCACACTCTTGCCTTTTTAAGGAGCCCTCATGGCACAATGATTAATAGCTCAGCTGCTGAATAGTCATGGGTTTGAATCTACCAGATGTTCCATGGGAGGAAAGACCTGGAAATCTGCTCCCATAAAGATTGCAGTCTAGGAAACACTATGGGGCAGTTCTGTTCTGCCATATAGGGTCACTATGAGAACCAACTGGATGACACACAACTTGCCTTTTTAATCCACTTTAGCTACTCTCCTTTTCAACATTGTTCAGTTGTATCTCAAACCAAAACCAAGTACACTGTCATTGAGTTGGTTCTCACTAATAGAGACCCTATAGGGTAGAGTAGAACTGCCCGCATAGGGTTTCCAAGGCTGTAAATCTTTACAGAAGCAGACTACCTCATCTTTCTCCCATGGAGTGGCTGGTGGGTTCAAACCCTGAACTTGTGGTTAGCAGCCAAATACTTTAACCACTGCACCACCAGAGCTCCTTATTGATAACTCATTACTTTCTTTAACTCTAGTCCCAAGTTACTATCTTGCATCCTTTTTCTATATCCTCTCTTTCCCCCAAACCCCTTGCATTGTGCTTTAACTGCACCATTCTTCTCTGTGGAACCAGAATAGCATAATGTTGTTGTTTGTTGTTTTTAGGTGCTGTTGAGTCCTCTGTGACTCATAGCGACCCTATGCACAGTGAAATGAAACACTGCCCAGTCCTGTGCCAGCTCTGCGATCCTTGCTATATTTGAGCCCATTGCCGCAGCCACTGTGTCAATCCATCTTGTTTAGGGCCTTCCCCTCTTTCATCGACTCTCCACCTTACCAAGCTTGACATCCTTCTCCAAGGAATGGTCCTTCTGATAACATGACCAAAGTAGGTGAGACGAAGTCTGGCCATTCTTGCTTCCAAGGAGCATTCAGGCTGCACTTCTCAAGGATGGATTTTTTAGTTCTTTTAGCAGTCCGTGGTACTTTCAGCATTCTTCTCCAGCACCACCACTCAAAAGCATTAGTTCTTCTTCGGTCTTCCTTATTCATTGTCCAGCTCTCACACACATAATATGTCAGACCTAAATGGTATCTGTGGCACTTTATTACCTATATGTTTTCTTTGAATCTTTGCTTACTTTGTTCTCTCCACCTGAACACCATTACCTAGCCCACCATTGCCAGTCTCACCTCAGGTGGGATGTCAATTTCTCTAGACAGTATTTGTATATACTTCTACTTTCCCTGAAGTTTCATGATACTTTACTTTCTATAGTAGTTCTCTTAAATCCTGCCTTGGAGAGTTTCTAGATTTTCTCCTCAAACTTCCATTCACTTTAGGATTATAAAGTTCTCAAGCACTAGGACTATAATTTGCTTATTATTTCAGTTCCAGAGTCCAAGAGGATCCTCGCTATAATATCCAATCCCAAACTTGTTACTGTAGAGTCGATTCCAATCCATAGTGACCTTATAATTTTAAATGTATGGACCTTATGATGTGTGGTGGTGTTGTTTGCCGTCAAGTCGGACCCGACTCATAGCAACCCCTCCTTGGGTTTCCAAGGCAGTATCACTACGGAAGTAGATTGCCCCATCTTCCTTCCGAGGAGTGG